AACTGCATACACAACATTTGATGGCGCATTTGACGTCATATTGGCAACTATGGTTGACGTATTAGTTGCAACATCTTCGATCAGTGAAATATTAACAGGCTCATCTGGAAGACACCATCGTTTTACATATTAGCATTCCTAGGTCTATATCTACTTTACTTGAAACATTATAATTTTTGTAAATGCTCTACCGCACCACCCGACTGAAGAAAATATTTCCATTGTACTTATCTGGAAGAGCACATTTATCGGTAAAGATACAATACATGCAGTAAACCATAATCTCTATTATACATTTAGCAGAAATTACAAACAACTTTAATAATAATTATGTAAATAAGGCTAATGTCATCATTAATTCTGAGCCTGTTTCTGTTTAAAATATCAACATCATCAGCGCTTTTTCCTTAACTGGATGATGCAGTATGTATTCAAAATCATCGCACACGCGTTCACTGAGCGAGTACTTTGCTCTATAAAAGAATTGTGTGTGTTTAAAAAATAGAAAGAAAAAAGAATAGGATACGTATTTACCATCAGATGTTTTAAGTCGTTATGCTGTTACAAATACCAAACCTATGCTCGACATGCACGGGCCAAAATAAAGGAACATAAATATCACGACTATACTATTACATTATTTTATCAAAAATAGGGGTTCATCAAAATAGGAGTAGCCTAGTCGTGGACAAAAACTACTTTCTCGGTTTTCGGAATAAGCCCTACAGTACCTGTTGAAACGATTTCTGATGCTGGTAAACCCTGCTTGGAGTTGGCGATAGCAATCACGGTTACGTTCACTATTTGTAATGGGTTTAAACAAGAGCATTCTATACTGGCCGAACCAACAACCGCGTCTATGGCTGATGAAGCTGGAACTCCACTTGAACAAATAACGACGAATTTTGAAGCGAAACCAGATCTCATTTCCCATGCGACAGATATCGAATCCAATGAAGATGTGCGATTTGTGAACGTCACCACGTCCGGGTCTAGTAATGATGATGATGATGATGATAATAATAATAATAATAATAATAATAATAATAATAATAATAATAATAATAATAATAATAATAATAATAATAATAATAGATGGATTTATATAGCGCAAATAAACGAGGTCTCTATGTGCTCAGAATACGGTAGAATATAACGGGATGCATAGCACAAAACTACTCAGAAAAAGGTGTACGGTCTGTTTTCCCCCTAACAATTTATCCCCAGGTCCAGGGTGATTTGGCAAGAGCGACATTTGCTAGAGTATGCCTAAACGCAGTACTACAGAACAGTTACCATTCAGTGCTTCAACACCCAAATTCGCACTACTAGATAAGAAATAATGTGAGATGTGAGGGCCGATGTCACATATGGATTTCACTCCACAAAATTAGGTACCTTTTAAAGAGTGATTTGTCCGGGGGAAATTTGCTATGTGATCGCCCTTTTCGTCTTTTAACGAATTCTCTCTAGGAGAGCGAATATACGGTTTACTATGAATGTTACAATACAGAGGGATGGCGGAGGTATACAACGGTAGGCGGGAATCAGTGATACCGACCCAAAATGTCAATTTGAAAGAAAGTAATGAGAGTTACTGAAATATTATAATACCAAAGCGCACAAGACAGCAATATCATTAAAATAAAATATATCTAAAAATAGCAAATATCCATTACTTTTATTATCATTTTAAGGGCTTGAGCAGGAGCCTCATTCATCACCACCATGTTATTAAATTTTAAATATAGAAGGTTTTACCTAACTGTATGTTGAGACTTGCAGGCATTCCATACTCAGAATCCGTTACAGAATTGACAGTAATGATGACTGTTGAGCCTGGTACAAGGTCATAGCATATGGCTGCTCCGTGAGTGCTATTCTTGTCTAGTAGAGCAACCGATCCTTCTGAGCAACTCACGTTAAAATCGTCTGCAATTTCGTCTAGAGGAAGTGACCATGAGGCGATTCCAGCAGTCATATTCGTAAATTGCTCCTTTAATGTTGCCGGGCTTGTTTCTAATTTACATTGGAACAAAGAAAAGTGTAGGCCTATCATAATTTGAATTTTGAAGTTTCAGAATTGTTTTTTTATTTGAGTCGCGTGTGGACTCACAGTCGGCTAAACTGGTGGTAGCCACTGTGTGTACTCTTAACCGTAAAGATTCTTCACATATTTGGTCTCTGGTTGTTATAAACATGTCGGAAATGAGGATTGTTTCCCATGAACTGCCAAATTCATCATCAAAAGCACCCCCTGAAACAAACAAGTCTTAGGGAGTTACCCTTGGTCTGTTCACACCAAAATTACTCTATCCTATATGTGGCACATGATCGCCTTCATGCGAGACGTGGCTTCACCTCTGCAATGGCGTAACGCTGGCGCCAGGCCCCTGTGGCTTTAAGAGACTGGGGCCCTTTTAGGTCCTCGTTTTTAAATCATGATTGGCAATGTATTCTAATTATGTTTTTAACGACGAAATTAATGATATGATGTTAGTGGTGGATCCATAAATTGGAAATAGAGGGGGATGAAGTAAGGATTTTCTCACATGTCTATACCCACCATGGTTGGGGCTGAGGTAAGAAAATGTTTGATTATGACACCTCTTGATGGACGGAAATGACACTCAGACTTAAAAAAATTAAATATATTACTTTCTTTTTATCTCCATATTTTATATTTAGGGGGTCCAGACGACCTGGCCCTTTTTAATCCATCACTGGATATAATATAATGTCCTACAGTCGATGTCAGAGGCACATTATATACTGTTATCAACAAAGCTCTTTTGGTTCAGGGTGCTAGACCGAGGACCGCCGAACAAGAGCACCTAGGCATTACGCCACTACACTTCTGAAAGTGGTTTGTTAGAGGAGTGTGGAACCATTTGTAACGAAACAGCCGATTTATTAGTGTTTTAATGAATGATTTAGAGTAATTAAAAAGACGCATCCTACATGCTAATTATAATGGTTACACGGGCAGGCAAAGATCTTTCCTCTTGTGACAGTCCTCAATGTGAAGCTTTTTTTGCACTATGAGCTCTACGTGTACAGTATCCTCCTCCTTATCATCACGATCATTATAATCATCATTACTGTACCATCATTATATTAAAGTTATGTAAACATGAGATTTCTTACTTGTTGTTATGGTCACCGAGGCGGTAGCTAAAATTTCAAGATACGACGCAGTTACGTTGACTGTCACATTATTGCTTGGTCGGGTTCCATTACAAAAAACAACCACATTTTCAGAATCCACAACATCAATGTTTGGAGATGGATCACCTTCTGAACACGTGGTGGTAATCTGGTTGACACGTCCTGCTGTCACAATAACTCTCACTGATACTGAAGAGCTTGAAAAATCCTCTTTTTCCAGTTCAATTTCAACTGCATAAAATAAAGATCTTTCAGTTGTGGCTAGATACACAATATAAAATACTGTACTGTAAACTTTTTAGAGATTAGCAGCGGACCCAGAAATTGAAAAATAAAGGTAGCCACGGTGGAAATATTAGAGATAGCGCGCAGAATAACTCAGCCCCAACATTCATGGGGTACAAAAATGGCACTCTGAAATCAAAGTTTGAATGCAATTTTTGTGTCCCCTATTTTTTTTTTATTTCAAAAATGTAGGAGTGGGACTAAAATGAAATTTCTGCAGTAATGAAAAGAAAAAAAAAATCATTCTTATGGGGTCGTTCGTGACAATCACGATATTTTCGTAAGTGTACAAACAGTACTCTTTTCCGGTACCCCCTCCCTCCCGCTCCCATTTTCGAAAGTGTGCATAATAAAATGTTGATTTTGCAAAACCATTTTCCATTTGTTTGTGAAGTCAACTAATGTTCTGTCATGGTTAAATAAATATGTAAGCGATATTCTATCCATGGTTGTATTCCAAGTGGTCTTAAAAATCTATTAGGCCTATATGTTAAATACTGTATTGCATGTTATTTTGATTCAACATATTCATGTATGTAAGAGTGTACAACTTGGTACCCCCTCCCTCCTATAGTTGTTTGTACACTTGTGAAAATGTTGATAATTGCGAACGAACCCTAAGAAACTGCAATAACGTTACAATGTATTGACGGCGACACTTTCTGGATTTTTAGCTAAAAACAAATTAAAAAATATACAGTACCACAACAATTTCTGAACTGCTTATTTTGTAGATTTAAATACGTTGTTATAGCTTTCAAATAAAAATAAAAATCTAAAGACACTTAAATAGCTGTTCCTCCTTGGTGGATGGATATGTTGATAAATTAATTCGTTTTCTATTGTAAAGAACTTATGAACTTAATTCGTTTGATCTGTTTCTCATTAATTAAATATTTGCCCGACCGTTGACCACCCGCCGCCCATCTGAGAATGTTTGGTACTATGGAGTCTATACCAGACACCAAAAATCACTGTAATCAGCGACAATACTTACTGTAACAATACGTGTCCTTAGATTTGTTTGTTGTGGGGTCCAGACAGCAATCTTTGTTCTAGATTGACGATCAGTAAAAGAATAAATTGATGTAATTACATTTATATATTTTATGTTGAGTCAACTATTATGGTGTGATTTTTAAAACTATTATTAAATACCGGTAGTTGAAAACATTATAGCAAAACTAATGTTTTAACAATAGGCAGTCTACATTTAATATAGTAAATATAAATTGTGTACTAGAGATAACACCAATATAGTTTACCGTGCATGCATTGTCATAGTTCAAAGTTGCATATATGTAGTTGTCATTTTTCCGAAATTTATCAGCGTTTGTGTCTTCCTTGATGGCATTGTTGAGTTCACAAACCTTCAGGCTACTGACGTAGTTGTAGGACTTGCATTCGCTGGTTTGAGCACAGAAACTCTGACATTCGATGCGTGATCTTATTCCATTTAAAGTTTGGAATATATTACCGAGCAATGCTCGGTTTTCTTCGATTTTCATGTTGTTCCAACTTAGATAACCAAATGCCGCATCCGTGGGCCGCAGTGCAACCGTTGTCACAAGCCAAATTACCGGCAAGACTCCGAAAGACATTTTAAACAAACGAATTCGAAGGTCAATGACGATTCCGCTAAACAATACTTACAATTTTGTGGGCCTTTATAATGTTCTTTAGTCGAATCACTGTGTGGTAATGATCGCCAATGTTGGTTATGGAAGGCTAAATAATATTATTTGGAAATTTGCGTCGTGAATAACGTTTTGAAGCAAACACAATGTAAAGAACAAGTAGACTAGGCCTACACTCTAATATTTGTTTAGGTAAATCTTATAGAGGATATAGAACTATATATTTCTTATATGTGATCGATAATTATAAACGTTATAAGGTCTAAAATTCAGCAACATGATATTTTGTTAGCGAATATTCACTACGACAACTAAAGATATCGTAGAAATTGCTTAAACAAATTAACGGAAATTGTCATCGTAGGTCTGTCTGTTTATCTAACCAATTTATGTTGACGGTAAAATAGAATATTAATTATTGTTCGTGGAAAGAAGAACCGTCGGCCAAATTCAATAGTGCTCAGCAAACAAAGCGTTAGTACGCATACAGTAGGCCTGATGACCAAAACAGTTTGTTCTTGAAGCGTATTTTTATATCAACTAAGAAGGTTTAATACACAATATGCAGTTAGTATTGAAATGCATCGAATATCGTATGTAAGATTAAGGAGTTGTTATGGTGACTATAACAATTCCCAATAAATGCACACCATAACCTCAGGCATATTGTAACAACCGCTATTGGCCTGTAAATGATCAGGCTTACTGAAGTACAACCCACTGGTTACAAATAGTAATTCAATTATTCAAATAAAGTGTATGTCTAAGAATTTTGAAGTCGTAAGTTAAGATATATTTAAAAAATCGATAAGACCGAAATATATAAGCTGTCCTTTAAATTATCCGCAGTAAATCGATCTTTTTGACCGAGCTAGTCCATCATTATTTTTCCTTGCCTGTGATCTGTTTCGTTTTTGTGTCTTTTAATGACATCCTAAGGAGACCGACGGCTGTTTACATTTCCAATAGCACAAAAATATTTTAACTAAAGCGATGATATAACACGAAAGTAAGCATATACTATTTTTGGATACTGTTATGAATGACAAATTGACATACCAACTGAATACCGTAAAATCTCGAATTGAAGCAGTGGGCTTCTTTTTCTTTCCTTTTTTTTTTTTTTTGTGAACTTTTTATGGGCTTCTTTTCGAGGCTACTTTTGCAAACTTAAGAGCGGCGGGGGCTGCAATTGGAGATGGGCTTCTTCTCGAGATTACACCCATTGGGCTTCTATTCGAGGTTTTGCATTATGTGTGTTAACATTCAATAATTTTGTTTGAAAAATATGACAAACAAATTCACTATATCTTGTTTTTAACGATATTCTATTTTAATTTATCTACATCTCTCCCATTATTCTCTTCCTCCACAAACCAAATGTTGATTTCTCATAAAATTATACAGTATCTGCTGACAGTGAACACTCTAATGAAATAGGTATTTGAACAATAAAAGGCTGATTTTTAAACTGAAATAAGTTGTTATTCATAATCATCCCATTAGCAAAAGTAGGAGAAAAGTTTTGAGAAAGTGCGTGTATCGATTGGCAAATAAACTATCCATCATTAATTGGCCTATATCAAATTTGCTTGTCAAATATTCCATCATGAATCTGTTCAAAATGTAAGTTTATTAAACTAGTTTGTACGTAATAGAACAAACATTATAAGTCTTGTATATCATTTACTCAATATTTCTTATTCAATTGATAAACAAACAGGGTGTATACAATGTAGAATATCGAATTATATTGCCCTCTATTTCTATTGAATTGTATTTATTGCCTCGGGCATCCTACATCGGCAGCTATTTTGATCACGATTGATATCTTGTAAATGTATCTGTATACATTGAATATGTAAGATAAGACGACACTTTCATAGAATTTAAAATTACAAATATTTATTCAATATGTAGCCATACGTTTTACAGGTTCATGCCGTTAACAATAATGCATTCTTTGAATTGACTTCCAGTGTGGCTAAGTGTGTGTGCACTTGAGCGGCAGCCTTATATTAAATTAGTACCTGATCGAGGATAAGATGTCAGAATAAAAACGATGTCGTCATTTCTTAATTAAATCATCGACTTTCACAGTCTTAAACAGATAATAATTAGTCTAACATTTCAGATGTAATTTAATTATACACATAGATTTTTTTTACCTATTTAAAAAAAATTATTTTCAACAATCAAATGGTAACGAACTTATTTAAAGGCATTGTGATACAATTTTAAAATTCAACTTCTATTCTATACTATTTTAAATCTTTAATTCCATTTTTACTTAATTCAACAGTTTATATAAATACAAAATATTGTATCATTTTGCCTGCAAACTGCATGGCTGTTGTATATACTATCTATCAAATTTTATTTGAAAAATGTGATATGCCCATATCCATTCTATGCACATTGCAATGGACCAAGTGTGTAGACGCCACTCTCACTAGATTGGCCTGTATCTCCGAAGCACAGCTGCGAAACAGGTAATTTTGTTTTATCGGTAAGGTAGCCCTGGTCCATACGGAGCTCACTATCGTTAACATTACAATTGCACCACATCTCATTCTTGTCACAAGTACCTGTTGGGAAGTTAAAATCATGAATGTATACAAAATAATAGTATTACTGTAGTAAACTAATAAGGAACTTTCGTTAATGAACTATATTTGATAAAATTTATAAGATCATGTTCTTTAATATTTGAGCACTGTATTATTATCTATTTAATTTCCCAGTGCTAAGCAGCAATTTGATTTTATTATTATTTCCTATGATTTACCAGCCGCTACCTATAAGTTATTACGTAGCTTAAAAATTTACTCCTATGTATGAGCTCTTAAGTTGTATGAAGGGAGCGTATACTAGTGGTCTTAGAGCCGTAATGACATCGTACGGGCTTCTGTAGTCTAAACGGTATGACGATCACCGAGAACGGCAATGGACCAAAACGGCATGAAGTCAAAACGGAAATAAACCAAATAAATATATAAAACTTAAAATACACACAAAATGGGGCTAAAGCAATTTATGTAATAGAAGTAAATAGTGGAGTTGAATAGCTTGGCGGTTAAGATGCTTGCCTTCCAATCCCAGGGTCCTGGGTTCAATTCCTGCCAGTTGCAGGATTTTTTTCTCACGACATAAACAACTCCACTCCCTAAATCTCATATTGAGATTTAGTTTGTGTAAAGCAACGTGTGTGTATGTTTGTCTTGTGTAAGGGATTGTCACCTACAAGTAGGACAGTGATATATATTCGCTATTGGCAATCCTTGGCAAATGTGTTGTGTGCCTAAAGAAAGAATAATAATAATAATAATAATAATAATAAAAACGCGAAAAAAAAACAACAACAACAATAATAATAATAATAATAATAATAATAATAACAACAATAACAATCTAGATGTGTATAAGAGACAGTATATGGTCTATAATTTTAAAGGTGAAGAAATAATCGCTATATTATCTGGCGGTAATGCTTTATACATACATGTAAAGTAAAGGAATTTGCGAGTGCAAAAAAAATCCACAACCAGGATTCGGGACATTCGTACTATGTAGTCTTGTACTTATTGTAAGTGTGCACTGGTCGAATAAATAAATTATTGAAAATTATTAAGCATAAATCAATATTGGTATAATTTTTTTCTTAAATTTATTAAATCGGTTAAGAGAATTTCAGTCTTATAAAGACCTAAAGGCATAGTGGAATGCAACTTACTCGTCAAACCGCAGGCACATCCTTTAGTTCCCGTTGGAACACCTCCCCAGTTTACCATCATTTCGCCATCAACTGAGGTCCAATAATGATATGTTTTGCTGCTCCCGTGAAAGCATGTTCCAATACATGCATACTATAGAAATAATAATTCTCAAGCATTCATCTCATTAATAGGAATCTTACCGGTACCGGTACTTATCTTATATTAGTATCGTGTATTGCTGATCGAGCCGGAACACCCACCTTAATAAATTGTCTGCATGAAGATGAAATATTTTTGACAGCATATATCTGACTTAAATCAAGATCGTAAGTAATATTAACTTTAAAACTACACGGGCTCTCTGCATTGTTTACATTACCGTCTTCTTCTTTGTTGTGGTGGATTGTAGTATAACCTTGAATTTAAACGAAAAATAATGAAATATTAATATACCAGTGGCGGATTCAAGGGGGCGGGGGGGGGGCAGTCGTTCCTAAAGTTTTCGAAATTATAAATAAAAATTAGTGGATAAAAAAATTATTATATTAAATATGAAGTCTGAGAGTACCATTTTTTTTTTTTGGACATCAGCCTGAGGTGGGTGAACACTCTATGTGTAAAGGTCCGCTCCTGGGTCCCCTCTATTTCGAAATCCTAGATCTGCTACTGAATATACTATAAAAAGTATTATTGTGGGACAAAACGCATATTCCAGGCCCTGTCCTGATTGGTCAGTTGTTATGTTTGATTTTGACACTCCGGGTCATTACCTAGGCTGTGCATAGAGGCCTAGTTCAAAAGCCCTGCGCCTACTTTTCGCAAGAGTGCAGGCTAACAAAGTATCAGCAAACCTACTCTAGAATGTGATTTTTCATATCAGGTGGTTGTTAAAGCCTGTTTTTCATATGGTCCTCTTCAAACCTATACTAGGGTTATAAAACAAATAGCATACGTCACACTTCAATAAATATGAAATGTGAATAAAGCGAAAATGGATGGTAAATACGCGCTGCCAATATTTTACACGCGCGCTAGATACGGTATACCGTTCAACATTTTAATTTATACAAGAAAACTGAAAAGAACGTAACAATGATAAAATCAGAAATATGAAAGAATAAAATAACACAACATCGCCCAGGACGGTCATGGACGAGTGCACCCGTCCAGGTTGAAGTCGTATTATTAATGTACACAATCATTATTTACCTTTTATTATGTCTGACGTCATGTCACAGTCTACCGAAAACGGATCCAATCCAGCGTTCGGACCATCAGGATCAATGAGATAGGTACCATTATTATCAAAACCGGCTATCTTGAGGGCATCACATGATGTCAATATAGGAGCTTCAAATATTTAGTACATCAAAACATTTAATTAAAAAAACATTAACGTTTATCAGCATATTATTATTATTATTATTAATTATTATTATTATTATTATATTATACTATTATTCAATTAATCGAATAACCAATCAATCGACCAGACGAATAATTAAACGGTCGATAAATTGATCGGTCAATAAGCGATCAGTGCTTGATCAATCAATAATTTGATTTATCAATCGGTGATCAATCTATCGGGTGACGATCAAGCGTTAACGTTCGCTCAGTCGACCAATCGATCAGCTGATTCGTCAATCATTCGATCGGTTATAAATCGATTGTTCGATCAATATGAAGAAATGGATATTACATTATAATTGTTCATATTTCTTACATATTTGCGTTATATTCATTACAAGTTTTAACTTAGTTTATATCACACATATTTCCACTTTTCACTATTTTCGCTTTATACCATTTTCGAACAACAGAAATGTACTCATAATAAAAAACTGCACCAAGGATGTATACCTTAGCAAGAATATTCTGGTCTTCATAATACGTATCCTAGTAAGAATACCAAGAATACCTTATTAAAAAGTGCCTCAAGAAGGCCTGTAAAGAGATAGGCCCCTATTTAAAATATACGGGCTGCCGCTTCTCTTCCATTTTCAAGTGCTTATTACTGAAAATATTGACATGATCTTGCTCACCGAAAATGGATTAATTCAACTATTTGTAATGCTGAAACTAGAAAACATTAGTGTTTATAGAAGAAGGATTGTTGTAGACATGGTGGTGGGATTTTAATAGCGAACAAGAATTATATGAAGTCATTATTTTTGTCAATTGATACAAATATGGAAATTCAACTACATAATTAGGAATACCAGGAGGAAAAAAAATGCTTATTGTGTGCGTCTATAAATCTCCCAACACATCTCTCAAATAATTTCAAGAGATAAACTGACATTATTTTATCCGCCGATAATTGTTATAATGTAGTTTTAGGTTTGAAGGTTGGAAATGAAAAAACGTTGCATTAGTGCGAATACAAAACATGCATATTCTAAACAAACTGAGGCAAAATCAGACCTCTTTACTAGGGTATCTAAGATCAAAGTTCAGAAATGCCATTTCAAGTCACTTTTGAAGAAAATGTTACATTAGAGCAAATCGAAGGATGTATGGTCCGAACGAAGTCTACGATTTTCCGTTGCCAAAATATTAGAATTTACACACATCAAAGATATTGTGCCAAATTCCATGCTTTGATAATATGTAATGTGTTAATATATACAGTAGCGCGTCTTCTGTGAGTTCAGCGGATCCCACCATCTCACATGCAGCCCTGCTCTTTGTTTTATAGTCCTAATACGAAACACTTGCTCCACCACAAGAGCCTAGATCGAGTATACCGTTCAAACCCAGTGCCGGTGTTTTGACTATAAAAATTACGGCACCCCTGCTTAACAACTCGGCCACTCGACCCTATTAAATTGTATTTATTGGTATTGAACAAACTTTTCTGACAGCTTATTTATAAGGTTCATAATGCGCTGACGTTATCATTAACTTGAAGTCCAGATGCCTGATGGAAATATAAACATCCTCAGCTCTCTAGTCCTTGATTGGTTTATGCAGCGAGTATTTAAAAGTATATCTACATTGACCGTATTATACGTCAAATTTTTATAATGACCAATTACATTACAGAACTTTTTTTCAGATTAAATCTTGTACAACATAGACCAAAGAAATGAATATGAACATTGAGACTATTAGTAATAATGCTATCTAATGCAAAAAGAAAAATAATGCAATGTTTGCTGGACACGTGGACGGTAGCAGAAGACAGTCAGGAATAAGAAGCTTATTTATTTTTAACTTGGCTTTCAGCATCATAATACCCTACCGTACCTGTTAGAACGACCTCTGATGCTGTTGACCCGTTCGAAGCTTCACTAATTTCACCAGTGGAAATCGTGACATCATTTTTGATAACTGATACAGTAATGGCTGCTGGCCTTCCAATTTTATCCCCACGTTTAGCTTCGACGGTGATGTTGATTGATTCTAATGTAGTATTTGAGGGTAAACTACAGATTCCAATGCGTAATATATTTTGGAAGCTATCATCTTCAAGAGTTTGACCATCCGAACACGTGATTAGGAAAGAATCGGCAATTCCTGATCTTAAATTCCAAGTAGTCGCAGCGAATGGTGTTTCACCAAGCATCTCTTTATATATAGTGTAATCGTTTATAGGCTCAAAGACAACCTCTTCCGGTACTGCGAATAACAGAAAGTGTTATCATAATTTGGTAATACTGTTTAATGATTATTATAGTCGGCTGATACTCATGGGCCCTCTGAAACAATGCG